TATAAAAGCCTAAAAATAACTATATTTTTCTTTTTATTATAAATTAACTCTAGTTTCAGATAATAAAGGTTTTAATAAAATCTATTTATATATTTTAATCCGAGATAATAAATTCTAAGAATATTATTTTATAGACTTTAAATTTGTACTTATAAATATTAATTTATAATTCGATATTTTAAAGCTTTATAAAACTATTTTAATATACTATTAATACTTTTTCTTATTTTTTTGAAAAAATAAATATATTATTAATATAGGCTAAATAAAAGTTATCTAAATAGTTTATTAAAATAATATTAATATATTATTAAAATATTATAGAACTATTATAAAGTTTAAATAATAGAATTACTAATTTAAAAGATTTGTATTCTATTTTAAAAGCTATTTATATTATAGAAACTAGTTTTATATAAATTTAATTAAAAATATATTAAATATCTAATTTAGTAAATATTAATAATTCGACTAATTAGTTAAGTATTTTAATAATAAATAATAAGAAATAATAATTCTTTTTTATTATAGTATTTAGCTATTAATAATTAATATAAAATTATAAGTTACTGTTTTTCTTTTTAATAAATAAAACAAGTAAAAAAAAAAGAAGAAATTAAATAGTTTAATAAAGCTCTTCTTTAGATTCTTAATAAAATACTTTTTTATTTTTTCGAGTTTATAAAAGTTTATTTTATAAAAATAAGCTATTTTTATTAAGGAATCTGATTTATTAAAACAAAATTTATAATTAAAGAATTAAAACTATAGAAATATATTTATTACTTTTTTAGAAAATGCCCTAACTATATTATATAGCTATATAAAACGAAATATTCAAATCTTTTAAAATTCTTTAAAATTAAAAAATAAAGTATTATTAAAAGTATCTAATTTATTTATATTTAAAAAATATATAAAATTACTAATTTAAGTATAATATTTAGTAAACTATAGTATTAGTTATTTAAATACTATAAATAATAATAGATATTTTTTCGATTTATAATCTTATTTTTCAAATATATAATTAATTTTATTAATTGTAACTAATTTAATTAAGTTATTAGGACCTCTAGTATTTAATTAAAAGGTAGCTATTTTAATAAAATAAAATAAATGGCCTAATAACTTATTTATTTTAAAAATATTAAAATCTAATTCTTTTTTTCTTATTTAATATTCGGCTTTTTTAGTAAAAAGATCTTATAGAAAAATAAAAGATATATTCTTTTTTTTTTAATTTTTTAACTAGTTTTCTTTTAGAATTCTAATTAAAATATCTATTAAATATCTATTTTTTTTATTTTTTTTATTAAAATATCGGATTTTCTAAACAAGATTTAACTAACTTATTCTATAATCTTCTAGCTAATAGAGCTAATTCTATTAATAGTTTAGTAAAACATTATATTTTATAAGCTATTTTTTTTCTAAAATTATATTATAAGAACCAAAATTAGTAATAAGTAAATATTATTAAATTTAAAAATACTAATTAATATTTAGATTTATTATAGCTATATATTATATAGCTTTACTCAATTATTTATTAAAATCTTATAAGGAAATAGGGATTTTAAGTTTATATAAAAGTATTTATAATACTTTTATTAAAAAGTAAATATATTTTTAATTAATTAGAATATATATATTTATTCTAATATTTACTAAATATTAGAAAATTATAGTTTTATTTTTCTAATATATTCTGCTTTTAATAAGAAACTAATTTCTACTAATAAATTAAATAGGATTTATAAGTTTTTAATAGAGCTTTTATTCTAAAAAAGCTATTTTTATACTTAAAGCTAAACTTTTCCCGATTTATTAATATTGAATTTCTTATTAAATAATAAATAGAAATTAGTATTCTTATTATTTAAATTTAAATTATTTGCTTTTTCTAAATAATTCTTTTTAATAAATATAATTTTATTAGTATTAAAATAAGCTCTATTTATATTTTCGGGCTTTTTATAAATATAATAATAAAGGCCTTTAGATTAATTTAGGCCTTTCTTAAAATTTTAGTAAATAGCTTTTTTTAGTTATAAGAATATTAGTTATTATAATTAATTTATTAAATATAAAATTACAATTATTTTCTGGTTTTTAATAGGCTTTCTAATATAAGGATTTGCTTAGTAATAAATAATTTCTATTAATTAATTCTTTTGAAATTATTAGTTCTTAATTAAAAGAAATTTATTCTTTTATTCTATATATTATTTAGTAAGATTTTTAAGTAAGTCAAATTTCTTATTATTTAAGCTTTTAAATAACTCTAGATTTATTTTATTTATTAAATTATTATATTAATTATTTATTAACTTCTCTAGTTTTATTATTAAATAAATAAACTTTACCTAAAATATTAGAAATAGCTTATTTCTTTATCTAAAATACTAGTACTTTTTCTTTACTTTCTAGTATTTTATTTCTTTATTTTTATTATAGGCTTATTAGAGAATTTTAAAGATTTATTTAATAGTCGAGATTTATTTAACTAATTCGGGTTCTAGTTAATTATAGATAAAGTTCCGGATATTTTTAGTAACTAGTTATATTATATAAGCGGTTTTTAGTAATTTATTATTAAATTTAAAAAAGTTCTATATTAGTTTATTTCTTATATTAAATATTTAATTATTAATTTAATAATTATTTTTATTTATAAATAGGACAGAATTCTTAATTCTAATAAGCTATAATTAATTACTATAGACTAAAAGTAAAAGGAATTTTCAATAAAAATCTATAGTATTTCTAAATATTTGCCTATTTATTTCTCTATTTTATAGCTTCTTTTTATATTAGTTTCTTTTTTATATAAAGCTAATTAGTAATTGCCTCTAACTCATTAATTTTTTTAGTAAATTAATTAATATATAAATGAGATTTCTAACAATATTCCGCTTATTTATTAGTTATAATATAATATTTATTAATAAGATTATTTTATATAAGTAATCTTTTTTAGGCCTTATTTATTTTCGAAATATTTATATTAATTCTAAATTTTAAGTTAGCTAGTTATTTCTTAATATTATCTTTTAAAATAATATTATAATAGCTTTTCTAATAATATAGATTTATAATATTAAAGTTTAGCTTCTTTTATTTTATTATATTAGGGCCTTTTATGTAATATATCTATAATAATAGTATTTAATTCCGGGCTATTTATAGTAGCTTTAGAAGAGATATTAGCTATAGAAATAAGTACTAAATAAGTTCTTCTTATTTAATATTAATAAACTATAACTAATTATTATTTTATCTAGTTTTAAGTTAGTAGGCTAAAACTAACTATTATCTTTTCTTATTTTAAATTAGTAAACTATAACTGATTTTCCTATAATAAAAAAAAGGCCGGTTCTTTTATTTTTATTAGGATTAAGGAAATATTATTTGCTTTAGTTAAAGGCCAAATTCTGAGATTAACCGAATTATAGAGAATAGAGTCTTTCTTCTTTTATATTAGCAGAGAACCGACTACTAGAAGGAGAGCATTATCTGCTCTAGTCAAGGGCCAGATTCCGAGATTAACTAGATTATAGAGGATACTATACTTCTAGCTAAACTCTCTAGTCCTTTATAGTTCAAGGAAGTTATTAAATATTAAAAGCAGTATTCTGTTTTTGCTTTCCAAGAACAAATATAGGTCCTTTACTAGTAGTATTATATTGCCTCTATAGGCCGAGTCGAGTAAGCTTAGTATTATATAACGGCGGAATCAAGATAATAATTAAAGGCTCAAAGTTCCGAGAATCTCATATATTGAAAATACTAAGCTAGAGAATAAAGTAGGAAGGAATATCTCGACCTTTTAGTATTATTCCGCCCAAGTATTCCGGCTTAACTTCGTTTAGCACCTGTTTCCGATATCCTGTTCTTGGCAGATTATGCCGTTATACCAGCCGTTATTATTATAATATATGTAGTAATACTTAATTCCTTTTAATCTCTAGTAAAACAGGAAAATATAAAGCAATATTTTGCCAGGTACTAATTAGAGATATTAATTAGGGGTATTAATTAGAAGTATTAATTAGAGGCATTAATTAGGGGTATTAATTAGAGGCATTAACCTTAAGAGAGCCTGAAAATTTAGTAATTAAGTATCTGGAACTTATTTGCCTTATATATAATAATTGCCTTGCTTATTTCATGCCCCAAAACTAGAGCTCTTATATATAAACTTATATAAATAATTATTTAGACATATTAAAACTCTAAAATTTATTAATACCCTATTTAATACCCGTAATAACGGGGGAAAAGACCTTGGGGAGCCGTATGCGATTCTAAGGCTATATTAGTTCCTTAGTAATAACTCGGGAAATGCCTAGCGCTAAGACAAAAAAAAGATTCTACTATTAATATCCCTAATGTGGAAACGGAATTCCCAATAGTGGTACAACGGGTCTGATTGCTCAAAAACACGAAAAATGCCCAGAATCGCGTTCAAGTTGTCTCTGGAAAATGTCAATTCCTTCTCAGTGTAGGTCGTAATAAGCTGCTAGATGGAAACAATCTCGAAATGCCATGTGGCGTGCAACTTGCTGCAAAACGCACGACCGCCAGCCCAAGTTGACTCGCACCCAGAAATCCAGCTTATATGCCGGTCTGACAATTCACTAGTAGGCGGTGTCCTAGGTGGACAGTTTTCTGGGTCAAGAGACTCGCAGCAGTTGGTCTCTTTGCATTGAAAATACATCTGTTCATCTGTGAAGAACAGTAGACGCCGAGATAGGAAAGCCTCCTGAATTATTTTCTGGAGCTGCACGGGGTTGAGGGGACTGGATGGCGTGGCTCCCTATACGTAGCTTAACGTGGTGACCGGGTTAACTCTATGCTCTACTCAATGTATTCAAGTCCGTGGAGCATTCTTGGCTGTAGTCTGTTCATTGTACCAGAACCCCTTTGAGCGTTCAAGCTACCCAAACGCCCGGAAATATCAAGCTCGTATCCTTGTATAAAGTACTAGAATTCCTGAAATATCCAACTGTTTATCCAAGCATACACGAACAATGATAAAGGCGTTCTGTTGAAATTCCAAAACAGCCCGGAACTTTGACATGCTCTGGATCACGTGCCGCAAGTGTCAATATCCCAAGAACACTTGGACATGGACAATCGCCATTGTTCAACATTGTTCCAGAAGATCTAGAGCAATGATAACCCCCATTAATAATTATCCCAGAATAGGTTAGAACATTGGCCCTACTCCCTTTAAATTCACCTCCGGCTCACCTCCGCTAACCGAGACAAAACACCCCCCCTATTCACCGCCCCAGACCACCCACCGTCCCCAAAACCTCAAAATTTTGCTCGCCGCTTTCACAAACCGTCATCTGGACCCGGCGAATGCTTCTTTCAGCCACCGACACCATCTACAACTTCGCACCTCGCACGTCATGACTCGCAAATCCAAAAGAAAATTCGTCCCCCTTGATCTGTCCTCTGAACAACCACCACCCACCAGGACGATGACCCAACCGCCTCCTCTCCCGGACCAGCCAACCTTGGCACGTACGATGGCGCAAGCACAGCCCCCAGCAGGCACGAGCCAGAGCTGGACGTCCCCGGCAGCCCTGCAATCGCAGAGGTTCCAGCGCGTGCAGAACAACGCGAGCCATCTCGGGTTCGCGCAGAGCCCGTTCTTCCCGAAGATGGCGCAGGAGTGGGCCAAGCATCAGGCGGAGTATGCGCAGGAGAGGATGGGGGAGGAGAAGGAGAAGTTGAGGAGCAGGATTGAGGAGAGGGAGGTGAGGCGGAAGGGCGAGGGGGATAGGGCTGAGGATCGAGCTGTGCTGGAGCGTGAGGTGCAGAGACTCAAAGGATTCGTTCATAGAGGTGATGTCACGGAGCGATTGCAGGGCTTGGAGATCGAGGGTAGGGAGGAGGAAGGCGGTGTTAGTTTGCACGGCGAGGAAGAGGAGCAAGGAGAGGACCGGGAAGAGCAACTCGCTGAAGCGCGTGCTGGCAAGGCCAAGGATAACACTGAGATCGAGGACACGGAGGTTGATACACAGATCGAGAGCGAGACAGAACCCGAGACGGAGAGCAGCGAGCAAGTCGACGGCGGCACGAATAATGACGGGAACGAGAGCAAGAAGAAACGAAAGAAGCGCGGCAAGAAGAACAAGGGCAGCAAGGCGAAGAATACTACCAAGATCGAGGGTGCTGGGGCAGGAGATGGAAGCGGAGCAGCGAAGCCAACCAATATCGACCACAAAGAGAACGTCAAGCCCACCACCACTACAACTTCAACCGGCAAGCCAGGCTCCAAGCCAACTGCTGCAAGCAAGAAGACCACCGCAGATCTCGCCGCCAACCTCCTGGGAAGTCTGGCAAATGACCCGCTCTTGAAAGGTGTTCTCGCAGGCACAGCAACGCCGCCGAACTCGTCACTCTGGAGAGCCTTTACCCAGTCCAACCTGTACAACCCGTCCGGCAGTGGCCCCGCCTTGAACGCCATGTTCGCCTCCCTCCGCCAGCCAGGCCGCACACCCGTTCTCAGCGCCCCAACCTCCATCTGGGCCGGCGACGAACACCTCAAGCCCGAAGGCCGCCGCGACCCCATCACAGGTGAGCATCGTTCTGCATGGCCCGATATGTCTGAGATGAAGGCCGAAGGCCAGTACCGCAAGGATGCAGGCAAGGATAGGAGATTGCCGTTGCCGAGAATGGATATCATGACCAAGGAGGCGGTTATTCGCGAGGCGGGTGGACAGGAGGTTGTCGATCAATTGACTGACGAGGGCAGGGATGCGGTTTGCAGGGAGCTGGGAAAGAAGACAGGGGAGGAGATTGCGTGGATGGATTGTGAGCCTGTACGATTTTCCGATTTTGATCGCTTGGAGAGTGTGTCGAAGGAACGCTGGGAGGAGAATACGAGACGTAGGGAGGGGGAGCCGGTCTGTGGTCCCAGCGCCAGCGTGCATGGTCATGGTGCGCAGGGTGCGATGGGTGCGATGGGTGGCAGCAGGGGACATGGCCTGAATATGGGTTTGCGTGGTGGTTTCAGCCAATCTGGTGTTGGTGGACGGCAGACTGGACCACAGGCTCCTCTTCCTGATCAACCAAAGGCGAAAGTCATCAATCCTGGGGCGATCTGTTATGGTGCTGATGGTCCTGGTGATGGAAAGGTTCCTCCGCCTGGTGGATGGGTTTTCGATGAGGAGTTTCTTAAGCAGAGGGGTGATTGGGGTGATTTGCTTGAGAACCATCTGTGATTTGGTGGGTGTCTGGCTGGCTTTGGCTGGATTCCTGGGATGGAGACCGCATTTTCCTTGGTTACGTTCTCATGAGGTGTTGCCTCCCCCTGTTTCTGGCTTCGGTTGGATCGATGTGATGGAGACCCATATTTTCTCTCCCGAGTTTCCGGCTTCGTCTGGATTGATGTGATCGAGACTCAGATTTCCTTTGTTATTTCCTCAGAGACGAAAAGGAGACACCAGATTCTTCCAGAGGGCTGGATATTCAGCATAAAAGCAGATAGACAGCAATGCAATGATGTAAGAAGAAGCAATGCAATGATATGAGGAGAATCAAATGTGCAAGGACAGTGAAGTGATATAAAGCAAAATTTGACTCGTGAGAACATTGTATGCCCCTTGGTGACGTGGAACATCGTGATGCTGCTGGACTTGCTTCATCTCAATATTCAAATGCATCCGAACTTGGAGAGACAACAACGTTACAAGTTGTGAGTGCAAAGTATGAGCACTTCTAGAAATCAAATACCGCTTGGACTGCTATTCTGGACCAACTGAAAGCATGAAGATTTGCGGAATCCTATCCTCTCTGCACCGGTATTTAGTTGCTTGCGGTTGGCATGACTTCAGCTGAGGGCTTGTTGATACAGACAAAAAAGATACAGCAGGTTCTGAAGCATCCAGATGAGATGGCTTTCATTGGGATGAGCAAGGAGAAGCGATGTCGTGAGGAGGTTCAATCACCCCACGAAGCGCACGGACTCATTTTCTGCCGAATCACGGGACCCAGCACCAGAACGTGGGAGGAAGATGTTGGTAATAGAATCGTGTCTGCCAATGTCAGAACCATAGTCACATAGTGGTGTAGAACAGCCTCAATCTCATTGAAACCCCCAATTCAGCATCTTAAAAACAAAGACTTTTCAGCCCTTCACTCTCCTCTTACACCCTTCCCGCCCTATCTTGAGACACCTCGCCGCCCTGAACACACTTCACCGCCGCCTTATCCCCCCACCCCCCACCCCTTTATCGCGATAACCAGTCTCGTCTATCAGAAAACAAAAACCAACTCCCTCAGAACAAAATTCGCACTCCTCCCCTCAGCTCCCCTTCTCATCTCCTTCCTCAATCTGGCGGTGTGACACCACAGCGGCTTATTCCATCCCGCCTCATCCCCTCCCATCACATCCCATCCCATTCCCATCCTCCTGCCATCGAGCCTTCGTGCTTACCTTGCATCGAGACTGTTGAGCAGTGCCACTCAACGCCTTCGTCGCCGTCACGATGTTGGGAGTTCCAGCCGGTAGGAGCAGCAAGAGGAAAAAGGGGGTGATGTATTCGATGGGGAATGTATGTCCTCTCTCCTCACACCTCACTCCTCGCTCCTCACTCCTCATTCCTTACTTGCCCGCTCTGCCAATTCGATCTGTCATGTTCTGCGCTTGCAAGTACAGCGTTTTCTTTGTGGCGTTGGCGTTCCGACTCAGCACGTGCAGGATGCAGCGTCGTGTTTGGCTACAGCACAAACCAGCGTTTGGCGAGCGGTGAAGGGGGGCCCGGACATCCGCGCTGCGTGCCATCGACCCGACCGGTGAAAAGGGACGGGACAACCGGTCTGGTCTGGCTGGGACTGCCAAATTCCAACGCCACGGCTACCATGATCCAGGAACCCGAGGCTGAAAGTCTCAGCTTGCGTGGAGTGGCTGCACGAGGACTTTATGCATCTCGACAACGGAAGTCTGTTGGTCCAATCAGATGCAGACAGACGAGGGCATTATTCCCATGGCCGAGATGTCGAGTCTCCTGATGGGCGGCACGGGCACATGACTTGTACCTTTGTAGCAGTCTGGATCCGAGGCGAGGGTGTGTTTGGCTGCGTGCCCTGCGTGCCCTGCATGGTCTTGACAAAGGGACTCAGGTGAAGCATGGGGGAGAGGAACGCCTCAATAATGCGGCAATGCTGCAACGCTGTAATGCTGCATTGCTGCACCTGATGCTCAGATACTTCTGAGTATTAAACGCAACTATCTCCAACTTGGAGCTTCAATTCTTTATAACTTGCACGAGCCAAGTTCTCGAAACTCCCCACTCTGAGTTGTGAGGGGCAGATCTGCAGCCTCGTGCGGGGGAGTTTTTCGGCTGTCGCTGGGCTGGGCTGGATCGTCCTCTCTGGCAGCACCACAAGAGAAACTTCGCCCGAGAGACCACTGAAATCCTTCCTCTCCTCGACACATCGCACGCATCGCATCGCATCACATCACATCACCCACCACGGCTGATGTACTCGCTATTGAAGCGCGTTCTCACACCCTGCCCGACTGATACTTCTCTTCTCTTGAATCTGCATTCTCTCGTGTTGCGATCTCAAGGAGACGCTCGCACGTCCCGCAGCAAGCCGTGAATTCCCGGTCTGTTTTCCCAGACCGGCACTTCCTCACGCGATCACCACAAAAGCCTTCTCTGCGCATCGTTCCACCTTCGATCCTTCTTAAACACCCCCAATTGATTTCTCGCCCTTCAATCGTCTTCAAGAAATCGCCAGCATGGAGTTGGCACGCCCCAGCAGGAAGACTAACGGTGTTGGCGTCCAGGTCGAGGATGCCCAGATCTGCGTGGTCATGGTCGGTCTACCAGCTCGAGGAAAGAGTCTCATTGCACAGAAGGGTACGATTCTAGCCATTGGCGGCCCATATCTTGACTGGTAGCCCTCCAACTAACAAATTACACACACAGCTCAGCGCTACCTCAAATGGCTCTCCATCGATGCTCAAGTCTTCAATGTTGGCAACTACCGCCGAACCGACAACCCCCATCCACCCGCCGACTTCTTCGATGCCGGAAATGCGGAGGGAGAGCGCTCGCGCAGGGCCGCCGCAGAAGCAGCTGTTACTGACATGTTGGGTTGGTTCAAGAACGGGGGCATCATCGCCATTCTCGACGCGACGAACAGCACAAAGGCACGCCGTCGCTGGATCAAGGAGCGCTGCGATAAGGAAGGAGTCGAGACCCTATTCGTGGAGAGCAAATGCGATGACGAAGAGCTGATTATGAGCAACATCCTCGAAGTCAAGACCAGCTCCCCGGACTACGTAGGCCATGACCCGGAGAAGGCGGCGCAGGATTTCCGCAACCGTATTCGCAACTACGAGAAGGTCTATGAGACGATTGACAAAGATGAGAATGATCTTACGTATTTGAAGATTATGAATGTAGGCAAGCAGGTCATTATCAATGCGATCCAGGATTACCTACAGAGTCGGGTTGTGTACTACTTGATGAACTTGCACATCAAGCAGCGGTCGATCTGGCTTTCACGCGTACGTCTGGTAACCCCCCAGAGGCCTTCTTTACTGACGATTTCAGCATGGCGAGTCAGAATGGAACGTTTATGGCAAGATCGGTGGCGACGCAGACCTGTCTCCTCGAGGCGAAGCCTACGCACTCAAGCTCCCTGAGTTGGTCAAGCAATCCTTCGGCGTATGTCCTCTCTTACCCTTCTCCAGAACAAGTCTACTAACATCCGCAAGCCTGGAGAAGACCACCCCTTAACAGTCTGGACCTCCACTTTGAGGCGCACCATCGCAACCGCCCGCCACCTCCCCCAAGAATACAACCAGCTGCAATGGAAAGCCCTTGACGAGCTGGACTCCGGCGTCTGCGACAACATGACCTATGCCGAGATCAAGGAGCTGTATCCCGAGGATTTCGAGGCCAGAGATCAGGATAAATACAATTATCGGTATCGGGGTGGAGAATCGTACGTCTTTCCCATTTCCCCATCTTCCCCCTCTGCCCCCATTATTCTCCGATACTAACCCCCACCCAGCTACCGCGACGTCGTAATCCGGCTCGAGCCCATAATCATGGAGTTGGAACGCAGCGAGAACATCCTCATCGTCACGCACCAAGCTATCCTGCGCTGCATCTACGCCTACTTCATGAAAGAGGACCAGGAGAAATCGCCGTGGCTCAACGTTCCCCTGCACACGCTGATCAAGTTGACGCCGCGTGCGTACGGAACAGATAAGCAGGTTTTCAAGGCTGGAGTTGAGGCCGTGTCTACGTGGAGAGGCAAGGGCAGTGTTGCGAAACATGAGGATCCCGTGGAGGGGGTTACGACGAGCTTGGATGTTTGAGTGCTGGCCACGACTCTCTCGCTTGCTTCCTGGACTCCTGCTTTTGCGACAGCTTTCAGGCATTCGGAAGTGGATCATTTCGAGACGAAACCTATGAATGCCTGAGTTATACTTTTATCTTCTTTCGACACAATGCTCCACTCTTGAAGTAGTAATTGTTGGAACATTTACGTATCAGAAGGGCATAGAATTGGACTGGTGCATGATACTTGGCTTCCAGCATAGCGATCCGGCGTTGGTGCGTTGCATTATGGTGGGAGGCGGATAGAAAATGAGGGACGACAAAATGGCTGGACAATGATGAATTGATGATGAATGAAAACGATTTACACGTGGAACATCTTGCCAGCTATCTGTGAATTGATTTGACTCTTTTGTTCGAATATTCGAAGCTTTCGTATTATTTAGCGTCATAAGGAATCACTCCGAGTCATGGGACAATGACATAGAACGAGGGTTATCTTTTGTTTACCTTGGATAATCATTAAAGACGTTCAAGTTCACGTGGGACTCCCGAATCCGGTATACCTCGATCCCGAAACTCCGAATTATGCCATGCTCCATTTGAGATATTGCCCCTCCCAATGCTAATACTGTCCCTCCTGCGATCCCCGACCCAAACCACTTTCAAACCCGGTAGAGTGATGAAGAATGAACTAAAAGATACAAGATTAATGACTGCCTTCCCTTTCTCCACGGGCTCCTCGCCCCTCGATCTTTCCTTGTTAGTCCTCGTCATCACTCAACTCTATCACCTCAACCTCGCCCCACTCCCCTTTATCTTTATCCCACCACCGACTCAACTCCTTCGCCTTCCCACTCGCCCTAATCTCATCCCCGAACTTAATTGACTTCCTTTCCATCTTCACCCCTCCACCCATTCCACCCGCCATCGCTTTAGCAACACCAGCTTCGAGCTTTGCCCCGAAACTCATCTGCGTCGGAGCCTTTGTCTCAACAACCTCGTCATTCACCCAACCGCCTCCGCTGAAATCGCCGACCCAGACGCGTGGCGTTGTCTGCTTCCCCTTTCCTTTGTCAATCCCCGGAGAGGCGAAGTAGCTCATGTCCTTGCCTTTGCCTTTATCCAACGTCCTCGGTTTAACCACCTCGACCTTGTCTTCATCGCTATCCCGATCTTTGCCTTTTTCGTCGAAGTCAGAGCCCATTCCTTGGCCAACTCTGACCATCAACTCCCCATCACTCGTCAAGAACTCCGCGTCTGCTCTCACCCCATTCGGATAAAGCAGCTTAGCTCGTCCGGCCTCTCCAATAACGGCATCCAAGCTCTCGCTTCCACCTGCACCACCCCATCAGCATCAGCACCAATCCCGCTTCCCTTGGAGCCAAAGCACGGAAAGCTGCACTACACAATACGTACCTGAAATACCCGCTTTAAAGCAGTGCCCCATCATATCCTTGCAGCGCTCGCAGAGCAGCAATCCACACCCCTCTCCCTGCCCACCATCAAGAGCGAATGATTGCGTGCCACACGCAAAGTGCGCGAGATCCGGACACACGCTGCAGTACTTCGCCTCATAGACCAGCCTCGCGCCCTCCCAGTCCTGAGCATGGATAGCCTCGCAAGAAGCAGCCCACGCCTCCTCGTCCCACACCCGGGGATCGATATCAACACCGTGAATCAACTTCCTCAGTCGGTGGCTCCGGCACCCGATAATTCGGATCCGATCAAAGGTGCAGCCGACGCACATTTTCGTCTGCGTGTAGCCCGCTTCGGAGTATCCGTTGTGGATCTCCTCGAAACCGCCGCCTTCGGATGCGGGCACGTAGAACCCTTCAACGGTCCTCGGGCCGGTGGCTTCTTGCAGTCCGCAGATGCCGAAGGTTGGGTAGTCGCAGAAGGAACATGGGTTCTTGCCCATTGGGTCAGGTTCGTAATTGAACTTGATGGGATGGCAGAAGGAGGTGACTTTGAAGATGTGGTGGGGTCCTGGTATTCAAAATGATGGTTAGCTGAAAGAGAACAGGGAAAGGGAGGGGAAGATGTACCTTTCTTACGGGATCGGCGGCCTTCCCTGGCTGCAACTTCGTTGAACAGCGTCTGGGAATTCCGAGTCGGCGTGGGGAACTCGCCTCCACTGCCCAGTCTCCTTCCCTCAGGAGTCTCAGACCTCCACTTCGATCTTCTCGACGACTTGCCGTTTCGCTTCTTGGGTTGGATGGGGAGCGACGGCTCAACAGTCTCCAATGGCTGTCTCTGGCTCGGCAGCACAAATTTGCATTCCTCGTTGTTCTTCCGGCATCCAGAGCAAGGTCCCCAATCCGTCTTTCCTTTATTAGAGCAGCGCTTCCCAGCACCACGGCACTGGTTGCAAGCAACCCACATCCTCTCCCTCCCCTCCGCTTCCTCATTCTCCCTCTGCCTCTCACCCCTCTCAAACCGTCTAGCGTAAGAACTCTCCTTCATCGGCCCCGCGCAGCACTTGACTCCATCTTCCTCACATAGATTGCAAGAATCAACACCCCGCCCAGCATCCGTACGATAGCTGCAACTTCTCCTCATCCTCTTGCACCGCTCACAGACCCTCTTCAACCCCGGCTTCAGAATCAGTTCGCACTCCACACTCGCATCCCTGCACGCCTCGCACGGGAACCCGGAGATATCCCCAATGAGCGAGCACCCGTCATCACCGGCTTCGAAACACGCTTTGCAACCTCTTCGTTGCGGGTGTCCGACGGTCAGGTCCTCGAGCCGGAGACCGTCGGCGCGGAAGGACGGGGCGCCTAGCCGTTCCGGCTGCTGGCGGCGCCGCTCCCGACGGCGCGGCTTGGGGAAGGAGCCGTATCCCGAGTCGCGGTCCGAGTCTGCTGATGAATCCGAAGACTTGGATGAAGAGCGGCTGGATCCGGACTCCAGCGGACCAGGGGCGATGCTCCTTAGATACTGGACCCCTTTCTCGCTCTCGAGGGTTAAGGTAACCATCAAGGAATAGCCACCCTTATACGCCTCTCTCCTCAGCTGCGGAATCCCATTTTCGTCAAGGACAGGAGAACGCTTCCGTTTTTTGGCCTTCTTCTGCGGCTGCTCGTCGGGAGTAGCGCGTTTCCGTTTCGGGTCGTAGGTGCCGCTGTCATCTTGATCGAGCCACGCTGTTGCGCCGCCGCGCATGGCGCTCTGCGCGGCAGCTCGACGCTTTCTGTTGAGGAGGATGCCCAGGTTGCGGATTGATTCGGGCATGCGAGAGGAGGGCGTGGGGGCACATGTTGCGAAGATGGCGCCTTCGCGGGGGACGTCTGCGGCTGGGGCGTCGAAGTTGAAGGATAGGAGGGATTCGTTGTCGGAGTTTTCAGTGTTGGCTTCGGCATCGTGGGGGTCCTCGGCGTCACTTGTATTTGGCGGAGTGAGGGGTAAGAGAGAGCCATCTTCATCATCCATGGCGGCGGTACTTGGGCGAGCCTGGTGTGGGGTTGGAAGAATCTTTAGAGGGTCAGTATGTTAAGAAGGGTAACATAATTTGGACTTGATGGCGAAGACGTCCGACAATATGCGAGAAGGTTATGGATGAATGAAGAGAGAGGATGGGAATGCGGAGCGGAGTTGGCAATGAAGTGTGTTGACATGAGCTTCGGCACATGTACGGGGAGTGCGAGAGCGATGTGAAGTATGCTCGGACAAAACTGGGGGAAGTGAAGATGGCAGACAGTGATGCAACTATGCATGCAAAGGTGAGTCGATGTTGGGAGTAGGTGGAAGTGTTCAGATGAGAAGTGAGAAGGTGATGGTGATGGTAATGTATGGGCGCAAAATGTACGATGACTTGCAGAGGGGGGATGCGGAGCACACTGTGGTGGTGCTGAATAGCTGAGGAGGACTTCCCCTGGGTTGCAGCAGCATGCAATAGGTCGCGAAAAGTGAGGACAACTTGAGATCACAAACTTACTTGGCGACAATTGGGGCTCAAATAGCACAAGCCTTGTTGTCACTGGTGGATATGCAACAAGCGGAAATGCGATCAGGTGGTTTCGTTGTGTTGTTGTGTTGAATGGTTGTTGATGGTGGGGAGGAGGTTGGCGCTCGGCTGACTACAACCAAAGCGAAAGCGACAATTTGCAAGGAAGCAAATATAAGCCGAAAATCTCAGAGGATCTCCTTCTGCAGTGTCCAATGCATATGCAATGAAAGATAAACCAGTGTCGAGGTGCTGTGACGATGTTGTGTTGAATGGTTGTTGGTGTTGAAGCGCGAGAAAGGAAGCTCAGCAGTGGGTGACAGCAAGCACCATCAGCGCGAAGGCGAGGATGTGCGCTAAACTGTAACGCAAAAATTTGAGAGGAGTTAGCTGCGGCTAAGATGTCATGAATAATGCACTTGCAAGAAAGTGTTTGGCGATGTTGCGTTGGCTGAATGGGTGGTGAATCTGATTATCCGAAGACGAGCCAGCTGGCGCTCCGCAACTGAAGAGCCACCTCACCGACTCTCAACAACCGCCACCAAAGCGACGCAAGTGAAAGATACCAAACATCGTAATATATAACTGCTATGGCCCTCGATCGATTTCCATGAGTAGGAGGGTAATAGAAAGTGCGTTGGTGCTGTTGTGTTGAATGGTTGCGTCTGTGAGGATGGGCTTGAATTTGGCAAGGGCAGAGCAAGCAAAATTGCTGCATCCTAAAATAACGATCCCCTGTAAAGGGCTCTGACCGAAAACCCTCTGTGAAATTCGGCTGTGGTCCTCAAGCAATTTGCCAAGGATAGCAGACTTCCAAGATACAGTGCCAGTGATTATTGTTGATTGATTGATATACTTACACCATACACAACCCCGTCTGGCAATCATAAACCATCATGTGCCAGTGCTAATGTGACTGCGGTGGTAAGCAGATCTGGAACTGCCCCCCCGTCACAACAAGGATTAAGCATGCGAACCCGACCATAAAAAGTATGAATGACTGAAAAGTATATGCGGCACCAACCTCCCAATGACACGCCTGAGCAATTTGCCATCAATAGCGGGGTGGCTAGCGTCCGTGGCCTCAGTGTTGCGCAACACAACCCCGGGAGTTTTCAAGTTAGAGTCGCCCCATGCGAGGTGGTTCCAGCCAAACAATCCCAATGCCGCCTTTGTCGCACACATAAGTCGGAGATCTCATCCAGAGTCGAGGCTCCAAAGAGTGGAGATAAGACAGACGGCTGAGGAATACTTAAGGAAAGCCAAGGAAACGACAACAGAATTGGAGGGGATCGGGCGAGCAGCGTCGAAATGATAGTTGAAAAGTCGGATGCAGTGCGCAACTGAGAGAACAGACATCGAAAGGATGATAGGCCTTCGTAGGTGCACAAACCAGGCTTGACTCTGAAGCTCGATGATAAGGCCAGACGAGGGAATACAGGCTGTTCAGTACTGTTCACCAGGTAGATCTTCCTAGAAAGGTGGACGGCGTGTCGGAGGAAGCAAGCACCAAGGGAAAATAGCGATAATAATGGAGAAGTGTGCGGGGTCCAGGAAATAAGCAATCATCCTCGAGATGCCCCAGCGGATACCATGACAACCAAACACGGTTCTCGCCTTGCTTGATTCTAGGCTAAGCTGAGACGGGCTGAACCAATATGTCAAGTAGGTTTCAGGATACCAGAAGACCGGAGCAGTCAAGAAAGTCTACCGCCGTAACAGATTAGGGTCTGAGAGAGTAATGGTTGGCAGATGTGTAGGCCGATAAGCGTAAGCCCACAGGAATCCTAGGTAGAGTATGAAAAAAACATAATCGGATGCTGTGTGTCGCCCAGGCTGCTCGCTGGACTCGGGACCAGGAGTGGTTTATCCACATCAAACACAACTATGAACGGAACACAACAGGAACATAGACCTCTAAAGAAGGTAAATCCTTCTGCAGGCCCACGGCTTTCAACATCGCCTCAAACGAAAATATCTTGCGAGTCCATGAGTCTTCCGAGATAACGTTTGAAGTCTGATGAAGCGAATAGAGCCGAGAGATGTAGGACCTCGGGGCCGGCGTTAAACTTGATTCGTCGAGAATGAGGGCTAGTTCAGAGGATGGCAGGCGATGAGTATCTCACTTGCAGCTGGGGGGTCGGTATCGTCACAAATTTTCGAGCAGCCTAAGTCTGATCAGGCGTCCGCGGCAAGTTGAAAGTAATCAAGGACGCAAGGAACTGCAAAGAAAAACAAGATGTAGAGCAGTTCCGGCCACGAGAGCTCGCGATTCCGCTGGATGGATGAGAAAAGGTAACAGAGAAAAAAATAGCAGTAAGCCCGATTGAAAAGCCTAAAGAAAGGCAGGATGTCCGAAAAGAGTTCGGAATTGCGATCTGGTTCCATGGGACCCGTCTGGGGTCGAAGAATTTGATGTCCTTGGGAACTGGTCTAAATCCAAGAGTGTAAGCTAGGTTAAAAATAATGGTACCCACCCATATCCTGTACTGGCAAATACACGTGGGTGTGCATTGAACCTTACCAGACGGCGTCGTTTTTCACAAGACCAGGCATTCGAGGAAAGCGTGAATCGCCCAAAAAACAGAGATAAGAAGGATGTATCTCGGGGGATCCAGGAAGAGGTAATCTGAAGAGCGATATCCCAAGCTTCGAAGAACCCGCGAAGTCACCTGATCGATTGCGGCAGCAAGGATGAACTTGACGGGGATTACAAGGAGCGTCTGGTGCGGCAATGCATAACAGGCGTATGTGTCGAGTGGGGGTGGTGGAGCCATACGGCTGGTCACCTTGGGGCGAGCTGTCGGCGATCTTGAGAGTTGAGGGACTTTTTCTAAGAAGAGTTGTCGGTGGTGTGTCGCTGTGCAGCTTTCAGGTCGTGGGCTGCGCAGAGTTGTTTGTTGATGAGTTGGAGAATTCGGCTAGCGCGGTCGCTTACAGAATTTTCACTGACCTAAGAAAATCCCCTTCGCACTTTCCTCATCCTCATCCTTCTTCTCTAAGATTATCAAGAATGATCGACAGCTGAACACCCACTTTCTCCCTCTCCCAGGCGGCGGGATGAGGCTCCTTCTTATTAGACACGGAGAGACTGTCGACAATGTCGCTGGAATCTAGTTTGTACCTCGCGGCCCTAATTCTTCTCTTCCCACTAACAATGTCAGTGCCGGCATCACAGACTCGGCCCTCACGAACCATGGCGTTCTGCAAGCCAATCGACTTGGCAGTCACCTCGCTAATAGCGGCGTAAGGGTGTCTCATCTCTTTTCCTCCGACCTCCAACGAGCATATATCACAGCAGAAGCTGTCCGCGAAGCTCAACCTCAGTCCCCGGCCGAAACCACAAAGCTCCAGCTTCTGCGGGAGCAAGACTTCGGCTTCTTCGAAGGGAAGAAATTCTTTGAGCGGCCGAGGGAGGGTAACAAAACTAGAAAGGACGCACATTTAGAGGCTCGCCGCGACGAGCCTGGCTTTGTTGAGGTGGAGAGCAAAGAGTCCATGCGCACTCGAGTCGAGACTTTCATCGATGATCATTTGATTCAATTGATGCATGAAGTCGAGGAAGACACGTCTGTGGCTGTCGTTGCCCATGGGATCATTCTGAGTCACCTCTGGAGGGCGATTTTGAAGCGATTCCATCCATTCGTTACGGTTGGGCCTGATGTTCAGTCAAAGGCACCGGGCTTTAGTTTGGAATACCTTGGTGGCTGGTCAAACACCGGGTATTTGGATTTGGAAGTGAAGAGAAGAGCTGGGTCTTCTCGCAAAACTTCCAAACCTTGTGTGAATGCTGGGACATCTGCAGAGATTGCCTCCCCTGCACAAATTTCGGCTCCCCCAGATCCCATTCTGCCCAACGGCTCGGAACCTGAGGGCTCCGAGCCCCGAGGCACTTCCGCTAGCTCACCATTACTGCCACACAAGCCCGCGACCATCGCTTCTCTCGCTCCGTTCCCGCCTCGAATCATCAAGGAGCTGCAGCTTGTGGTCAAAGCTGTGAATAGTCAAGAACATTTGAAGCACCTGAAGAAGACGCGAGGTGGGATCGGAAGTCTGAAACATGATTCGAATCAGAAGAAGGTGGACTCATTTTTCAAGAAACGTAAACTTGAGCCCAAATCTGAAAATGATGGCAGGGCATAGATTTGGTATGTTGGCTTGGTCTTCCTTCAGTCGCTATATCCCCTGTGAGGAGATGAGAAACCCATTTTCACAGACCTGTTCTTAATATATTACTATGTAGAAGAAAAGGTACCAGTCTGATCACTAATCCTTTCAATTCATTGCTTGCACATTTGGGTCACGAAAATTTACTGACATGGTTACCAAGTTTCCAATCACCCTCGAGACATGGATTTTCCGAACCACGGGACATAGTAATGTATGATCATGTTTTCAATTAGATATGATGGATAGACATTATGTGTTCAATACAAACCACAAACTCCGTCCCAAAAAAAAATGTAATTCCCAAACTTCCCGCTATGATTTCTCATTTCTCATCTCGTCTCGTCCCATCTCCCATCTTCTACAAAACGACCAATCCCACAACCCCGAACGCCACCATCGCAACCCATGCATTCGATTCTCCCTTCCGCGCAGCAGCACCAGTATACTGACTCGGCGTCCCAGTACCCGTCGCATTCCCTCCACTCCCACCACCAACCGGCGTCGGCGTGCTGGTCTCCACACTCATAACACTTGACAGATACGCCGAGATCTCCGCTGCGTCACTTCCCGTTGCCGTGCTGTTGCTTCCACTTCCAGCGCTGTTTGTAAAGCCGTTGGCGTGATGTATGTTGTCGTCGTCGTCATGCCTGATGAGATGATGTCTGTTTTCGTTGTGGTTGTTGTGGTTGTCGGGCTTGGTGATCGCCAAGCGGGCAGCGAGACGACGGAGGAGATGGAGTCGGCGGTTAGGGTGAGGGTTATCATTTGAGCGTGTGTTGTTGCTACAAGAGCAATCAGTAAGAGGGTTCTGATTGCCATTGGGAAGATTGGTGGTGGAATTAAGATTATGGTATTATGTTTTGGGTGGTTTGAGGGTGAGGGACTTGAGGAGGGATGATGGGATGGGAGACGATGAGGTACTTATCGTGCGGTAGGGCATGGCATCCTGAGTGGAAGCTCATACTAAAATCGTGGGATGCCATCATAAGTAATGTGCTGCAGGGTCACTTCCAAGGACCCTCGGCTGTGATCCTTGGCACAAGTTCACAACTTTTTTCCCTCAATTGACAATTGTTCAGGACCATAAACAAGGTACATGGGAGCTAAGGTAGCTGGCCGTTGGACTTTGATTGGTCGAACCATGGCATGACCTGTTGTCTCATTGGAGGACGAGGGAGCTTGGGAGCTTCGAGCAAGGAACCAGGTTGGGATGCATACTTGGGTATTGCAGACGATGCTCCAGCCACAGCTCTCATATGTGAGTTCTCAATAATTCGCTAACCTGCATAGGTCGAAATCAAGGAAGGCACTTGATTGGATAAATTTCAAAGTGGGTTGGAAAATGAAGAAATAAAGTGGCTGGTAAGGGGGAAATCTGCGTCATAGGGGAAGTTTTGTGGATGCGGGAATCGAGGCGAGAAGACAGGGGGGAGAACCTTGTTTTTGACGACATGCCACTTTCATAATCATAACTCTCAAGAGATTCTTCGCGATGATGAAGGAAACCGCTCGCGCTTGATGGGAAGGTCGAATCTAGTTTCAGGACTATGGAAAGCTTGAGCCGGAAGAGGGAATAAGGGACCCTATCACAGTATCTGGCTAAGTCCACTAAATTCTGGAGCAGATCTAATCCGGACCCGATACGAAATGACTTTGGGGATCTGCTTGTACGATCACTTGGTAAGCAACAGTGTTGGCTTTTATTCGTACTTCTTCTACTTCTTTCGCCTAATCCCACTCAATATACTAACTGAAGACTGGGGTCTCTACCGTATTATCTGGCGCATATGACCATGGTCTTATAGCCCGTTCCACACCTAAATAATTCGTCAGGGAATGGTCCTAAGCCTAAGAGGGTCTAGTAATGCGTCGATCCCACTAAAAACCGCTTAGTGTATGGTGTTGTGCTTACCTCCTTAATTCCTCACCCCTTTATTCCTCTCTCCCATTCTCCCTCCTAAACTCCCACCCGCACCACCAATTTCTCTTGATATTACGTGCCACAAATTATATACATTGACAATTAGCTGGGAAATCTGCTAGGAGATTACTTGAATTACCTCAAACTAGCCAATTAAGCAATAGCTTAAGGAATTGCTCTGGAAATGGTCTTTTATTAGGGGGTAGTCCTGAACGAGGGGGGGGGGTTTCATATACGCCAGATAATACGGTACTTTCTGGGAGGGTCTGGACAAGCATTTCGCAACTATTTCCAAGAATAAATCTCACTGCTTTTGAATGAGCTAGTCGACCTTCATTGTTGAGCAAATACTGCTTTGTATTAGAAATATTGAGCTGACAGTAGGGGATTTTGAACAGACATAACGGGGACTAGCATCCTTTTCATAGTATATCATTGTCGAAAAGAACAAATGGCCGAAGTATCCAGCAAGATGCAAAAGCATAGCTTGATCGCTTGGGATATAATTACTCCTGGCTTCTCATCTTTTATCCTCTCTTCCCACTTATTTGGGTATTTATAAGCACTTATTAGACTGCATAAGTTTCTGCGAGTTGAGCTTTGAAGATAATTACTGGTGCAAAATCTTCCAGCCTAATAATGATTAAAGTGCTTTCCCTTTTAGAGTTCAGCTTGTTACGTAAATGGGTCTGTGCGGGAACACCGAAATTTCTCAACAGGCTCAGGCTCCCTTCCACTGGCTTTACAGTCTCCGCGGGCTGCCTTTACCCCGCAGGCTTCCCCTGTAGACGCTCTTCCTTTAAATCAGCTATACTGTTCCGGGCGTACGTCCTTTTGCTCAAATACAAGCCTTCCTTTCCACGAGAATGGGTATCGACTTCATACCTGCAAAACCCGCCTTATACGAAATCGCGACTAATATAGACTTGGAGGAGGCGCTAGTAGAAGGAGAAGTACAAAGGCAGGCTTGAGACGGGTAGAGGGTATTCTAAGCTCGATTATAAGACGGATGGCAGTGGTATAAGAAGAAAAGGTAATAGAAGATAAAGCAAGAGAGGCAATAGAAGGAGATTAATCCGGTTAGAGCTTATAAATAGCTTATAGATAAAAGCTCTAATATATAGCAGTTTATAAACAAGTATAAAGGAGAAAGCAAGAGTAAGAATAAGAGCTATAAGAGATTATATTAAGCTATAAATAAGATACTTATTATTAGCTTATAGCTAGCTAATATTTATATATATAAAGGAAAAAGAAACCTATAAATAAGAAAGTATTTATAAATTAATTTATAAATAAAAAAAATACTTATAAAATAACTTGTAAATAAGCTTATAACTTATAAGAAAGAAGTCTTAGTCTTAAATACTTATTAATTCTATATTTAGAATATTGCTTTAATTATTATTAAAAATAACTTTCTTTTAAATTTGAATATTTTTTTTATATAATTTATATAATTTATATATTAAAAATAAAAGTAAAAATCAAATTATTAATATAATATTTATAATAGCTAATATTATATAATTAGTTTTACCTAAAGAAGTTAATTTTAGTTAAAGAAATTAATTTTAGCTAAAGTTTTAAGCTATAATTTAAATTAAGCTCGGATTTTAAAGTTTAATATTTTAATAATTTTAATAATTTTAATAATTTTAATAATTTTAATTATATTTACTTATTTACTAATACACTTCATTTTCTTTCTTTTTAGCTTTAGATTTTATAAAATGTTAGAATTATAAATCTTTAAGCTTTATTTTATTATTTTATTTCTATTATTATAATATTTAAATAAAATAAAATTAAAGTATTTAAACTTAAAAATAAATATTATTAAATATAAATTTATAATAAAAGATTAAGTATTTATAAATTTAAAGAAATAAGAATAATAAAATACTCTAAGTATTTTATAAAAAATAATAAAAAACTGCTTTTAAAAATTAAAAATTATTTAAATAAAAGCCTTTAAAAAACTATAAGTATTATAAATATAAAATTTAAAGCCTAAAAAATATTATTAATATAGCTATTATTTTAGAAATTATATATTGAGTTATAGAATTCGAGAATAATTAAAAGTAATAATTAATTAGTATTAGTTTACTAGTAATTAGTTTCTATTAGGCTTAATATTATAATATTATATTTCTTATTTATAAATATTAATTACTTTATTAACTTTTATATATTAAATATTTTATATATATTATATAATAATATTGTATATTACTAGTAAACTAATACTAATTAATTAATACTTATAAATTAGAAAAGATTTTAGATTAGTTCTAAAAATATTTAATAGCCTAAAATAAATCTAATTTATTTTATATTAAAAAAAACTATTTATTAATTTTATAAAAGCATTTAGTAATTTATAAAGAAAATATCTAGCTCTTATTAATTAATAAGTAATTAGCTATTTAATTATTTGACTTTTATTATCTTTTATAATTAACTTTTTTTAACTCTAAATTTACTTTCTTAAAAAAAAAATTTATTTATATAATATTCAAATTTATAAATTTTTTTTACTAAAATATATACCTTATATATACCCTTAAAGCTCTTTAATTACGCTTCGATTTTACTATTAAATCGAATCTTTTAAGCTTTAAATTCTCTCGAAATTATAATATTTTAATCTTTTTATTATTAAATTCTTTTTATAAATCAATTATAAATTATTTTGTTTTCGAATTTCTTTTATTATAAATTATATATATATTAGAAAAAAACTAAACTCGATTTAATTTAATAATTATAATAAAAATAATTTTCAGAAATATTTAATTATTAAAATATATTAATGTATTTTATATAAAAAAAGTAATAATAATTTATAAAATTTATTTTAAAATAATTTTTAAAAATTTAAAAATTATAATATTTAATTAAATTAATTATATATTATTATATAATTTCGAATTAATTTTATTTAATATATATATATAAAATAAAACTAATATTATTAAAAATATTCTAATTAAAATTAGATCTTTTATAAGAGCTTATTATATTAGTTTATTTTATTTTAAAAGAAATTATATATAAAAAAATTATTACTAACCTATAAAGAGAGCCTATAGATAAGGCACTTATAGGAGAACTATTTATTAAGAAAACTAAGCTAAGAAGGAAAGGGAGTCTCGAGCTAAGGTCTTTTAAGTATTTATAGTTCTTCGCTTGTGGCTTGGCCTAATAGGGCTTAGCGTCCTAAATTTCCTAGAGTATAGCTTCTCTTAGCTTCATTATATATAATCGTTATATGACCCCAGATACTAGATACCAGGCTCAGATACCAGGCTAGGTAAAGTATAGAATTATAATAAAAATTAAAGTATTTATTTATTACTTTTATTTTTATTTTTATTATTATTAAGCCTAAAGATTTATTAATTAATATTTATTATTTTTATTAAAAAGTTTATTAGAAAAGTAATAAAGATATATTTTAAAATATAAAAGATAATAAAACTAATAATAATTTTAATTATAAATTTATTATTTTCTTTAATATTTATTAATATATAAAGCTTTTATAAGAAGTATTAATAAAAGCTTTCTTTATTATATTATAGGAACTAGTATAAAACTACTTTTATAATAACTAGCTCTTTTAATATATATATAAAAAGGCTTATATAAATATTTATAGCTTTTTAAAATTTAAATTTAAATAAATAAAATATTATTATTTTAATAATTATAATAACTAAATATTTTAAAAAATATATTTAAGTTTATTTAAATACTAATTAATAACTTATATTAATTATTATTAGTTTACTAATAATATATAATACTATTATATAATATATATAATATATTAATATATTAAATTAATAAAATAATTAATATTTAGTATCGGAATAGCTATATTGCGAATTTCCTGGTTATATAACTAGTTATATAAACTTGTATTACAGGTATAACTCAACCGGTAGACTAGTTTCTATTAGGCTTAGCAGATTTAGGAATTATATATTAATACTACAATATTGTAATCCTTACTTCTAAATAATAACCACTTTACTAACTTACGTAAATAGCATTTCACGACTATATAACGGTACTATGCATTCCTGGTAAACCGATACTAATTAGTTAGTACTTATAGATTAGAGAAGAATTAAGCTATACTTGCTCAAGATTTGGTTCCTTGGGGGCAAAGCTATTATTTAAGTTAAAGAAGGGATAACTATTAATCCTTTACTTATAATTCGGTTCTATAGGAAGAAAAGATACTTGATCTTACTAAGGCCCGACTAAGCTATATTAAAGGGGGGAAATAATAGTTGCCTTCGCCTATAATTCGGTTCTATA